CTGGCTCTGCCTCCCGAGTGCTGGGATTAAAGGCGTGCGCCACCACCGCCCAGCTAACCTTTAGTCTTTTAAGGTAGAATACCGATCAGATTTTGTTGTTTGAATCAGTCAACTTGGATAAACATCTCAGCGCTTTTGCTCTAATTAAAAGTAAATAATAAACTTCCGACTTCTTCCCATCTCAAGAAGTATAAGGCCATTAGAGCCATAAGAATGATGAGGTTTTATAGGTTGTTTTTTTCTACTGAAGAGTAAAGAAACGCTCTAGAAGTTTTGGGATGAAAATGGCTCTATTATCTGGTACAATAACAGCCACTGCGTATGTCCGAAGCAGCGGATCTCAACCTGTGGGTCGTATATCAGAGATCAGATATTTCTATCACAATTCACAGCAGCAGCAAAATTACAGTTATGAAGTAGCACTGAAACAATTGTATGGTTGGGGTCACCACAGCATGAGGAACTGTGTTAAAGGTCACAGCATTAGGAGGGTTGAGAACCACTGCTCCCAAGTTTAATTGCACTTACTTTGTGTCTAATACAATGACAGTCGCTGTATATGTCTAAAGTTTAATTGCACTGATTTTGCGTTAGGCTTTCATTATGGCTACTGAAGAAAATATGCCCTTCCATGAGCTATACATTTTTCAAAAGAAAAAACTTTAGTGTCTGAGAATATAGTTCATTGGAGAAGTGCTTTGCTTGGGATGGACAAACTACCCAGTGTTCCCCTCCCACACAAACACACGTGTGTGTATATGTGTGTGTGTGTATGTGTGTGTATACTATACATATATAATTAATCTTAAATATCTGCTACCATTATAAGGCTGAAGTATATTTTAATGTCAACATAAGAGGTAAAACATTAAAATAAAAACACATTTGTCTTTATAAAGTAATAAACTGATACTGAAATGAATTCTAAATTGTCTTTTCATTGGTAACGATTAGTGTCTGTTTAGCTACTCATTTTCAGGTACTTCCTTTGACATGTATTTCGGGGATAAGCTGAAGGAGAAGAGAAAACTGTATCACATCACTAAAAAGAGACTTAGCGCCCCGTCTTCTAAGCCTCAGGCAACTTCATACACAGTACCTGCATCCAGAAAAGGGTTTCCCACACATGTGTGCATTGCACACACATACACATGCAAAGTCCAAGACAATGCCTTAATAAAAATGTCATAATGAAAACAGCATTTGGTCCATAAAGACAAACAATAATGAAACACAGTGCAATTCATGAGACATAGTGTCACAATGATTGGTATCTCTGATGACAACCTAAGCATAACACATTTCTGACTCTTCCTGATCATTTTTCAAAGACTGTTTACATACATATTTATATATTAGTTGAGAGCAATATCTTAAATTTTGGTAATTTATACTGTTTATGTCACTAGAATGCATTGCTTTAAAAATATTTCTCAAACATTGTCCTTATTGTGAAAAGATGGATCATGGATTAGTTAACTACTCATATTTCTCTAACATTGCCATACAAATACAGAATGAGGGACAAAAATAATCACTCACCGTTCTTAAAAATATTATCTCTATATATTTTGTGAGACCATTTACTGGAAAAAAAAAAGACCAAAGCTTTAAAAAATTACTGTTAACTTACTGTACAGAATGGTCATTGAAATAGCTCTGTCATGATCTACCTCCATGTGTAAAATCATAGAAAAAATCATTTATATGTAATCCATCACTTCCAGTTTGAAAGACTTAACAGTAGATGTCTAAGAAATGTGCAGTTTCTGCTTAACAGAAAAGAACATTCTAAGAGTTCTCAGACTTGATCACACCCAGCAGCCCGGCAAGGTGTGTTGGTAGTGGCCAGTCTGCATTTCACAAGGCCCATTAGGATTGTGTTTGAGAGAATTATTTCTGATTGGGGCTCTGAGACTAGCAGGTGCCTCTGTGAGCTGCAAAATTTTCAGGATCAGACACGGCCTTTCAAATTCATCCTGACCATTCAGTGGAAATACTGCAAATTGCACACAAACCGAGTGCAGCCTTGGCCAGGTTCCTCACAGCTGCGGCTCTAACCTCATGGTGCTTCTGCACATGCTCACTTCTTATCCTGTATCCATGAAAACAATCTCTTTATACTGTGAATGTTTCTCAAACAGGACTATGCGGAGATATATTCAAAGACATTAGAGTTCTACAAGAGAATTTAATCTTTATAATTTAATTTAGTGCCATAATTTAAATAGTAATCTTTAAAAATTAATATAGTACGCTAGCTGACTTCAGAGTAATTGTCCAACACCAACAAAAACAAACAAAACCAGAAGCAGAGTTCACAGTAATAAGAGTTAATAAAGACATGCTGCCCCAAGAGCATGTCTAAAGCACCACACACTATTAAAGTAACGATCTCCTCATTAGCTCAATGCGTCTCTCTTCTACTAGTTAGCCAGAATTGGTTTCAGTTGTTTGCAATGAAGACCACGACCAGTCTATTGTCTAGTACCATATAATGTTTCTCTTTCACCATAATGCAAGCTACCATTGCTCAAACAATTTGAAGTTTAATTCATCTATAAATATTTTATAATTCAGTTTCCCCATGCAAGTGGAATCATAAGACACATATGATTCTGAACTTTAATATTTTCACTTAACAGAGATATCTTAGAGATGTATCCATCGTAAAGCAGTGAGCCTCCAGCATGACCTACAACAGGTACTTACCACTCCATCATGAGGTACACCACAATATACACAGCCAGTTTCTGACTGGAGGATACTTGGAGTATTCCACATCCTTTATAATTACAAGCAATGCTTTGAAATGTGCTAGTATCTCTGTGCGTACACGAACTTCTCCTAGGAAGATGAGCCCTTACTGATGAAAACCATGGCACATGCCAAATTATTCCTCACAGAAATCAATCAATTTACATCTACAACAGACACATGACTGCTTCCTCTACTCTCTCTGACCTGGTGAATTATTAAATTTGGCCTTTTGCTAGGTAGCTGTAAAAATTTTTTATGTTAGAATTCTTTACAGCTCTCCAACATGTATCATAATATTATTTTTACCAGAATTTCTTATTTTTATTTCTTACTTTGCTATTTTTATTTGGATTTTATCCAAATGTAGCAAAATTTTACTTCATGGTTTCTGGACTTGGTGCCTTTAAGACCCAGAAAACCTTTCTATTCTGAAACTACACTAAAAGGCCGGCCTGGGGGCTGGAGGAGAGATGGCTCAGTGGTTGGGAACACCTGCTGCTCTTGCAGAAAACCCAAGTTTAGTTCCGGCACCCACAGGGTGGCTCACAACCATGTGAAACTCCAGTTCCAGGGGATCTGATGCCCTTTAGTGACCTCTGTGGGCCCCAGGTGGCACACAGTACACATTCATACACACAGGTGAAAGACTCATACACATAAAATAAAAAACACATCTTTTAAAAACGCCGACCTTAGCCGGGTGGTGGTGGCGCACACCTTTAATCCCAGCACTCGGGAGGCAGAGGCAGGTGGATCTCTGTGAGTTTGAGGCCAGCCTGGGCTACCAAGTGAGTTCCAGGAAAGGCGCAAAGCTACATAGAGAAACCCTGTCTCGAAAAACCAAAAAAAAAAAAAAACGCCAACCTTGTCCATTCATCATGCATTGCATGCATTGTCAGTTTAATATTCAAGTGTTAATCAATGGGAAGATACTCGGCAAAGACTAAGGAGAGCTCTGAGCATAGCCTTTCTAGACAGTTCACTGCTGCTGTACTAGTTATTAGACCTCTGCCTTGATGACTGCAGTGACAGCTTGTTCCCACACTAAGTTCGGTGACAGGTTTGGATTGACTTCTGCGCCTTCTGCTGCTCCAAAAAAGTAGCACTCCAACTGTTTTAATATTTGTACCTCCAGAGTATACTTCAACACTTACTATATGGTACAATCAAGTTAAATTTATTTATTATTATTATTTAAGACTTTATTTTTGATTATGTGTGTGTGTGTGTATGTCTTGTGTAAGTATGTGCAGCTGGGTGCAGGGGCCCCGTGGAGGTGTGATCTCCCTAGAGCTAGGGTTACAGGCAGCGAGAGTCATCTGACCTGGGGGCTGGGAACTGTACTCGGTCCCCTGCAAGAGCAACACATGCTCCTAACCACTGGGCCATTTTGCTGGCCCTCAAAATGTATTTTATATCATTATTATTATTATTTGAGTGTGTGTGTGTGTGTGTGTGTGTGTGTGCACGTGCATGTGTGTGTGTGCACACATTAATGTGCTCATGCCCGAAGGTCAGAGGACACCACTCTGGAGTCAGTTCTCTTTCCACATTTACACAGGTCCCAGGGAATGAAATCAGGTCCACAGGCTTTTGTGCAAACGTGTCCTTGCTGATCCATATTGCCAGCCTCGCTAATTTTTTTTATTGTACATCAAAAGATTAAAGTTTCATATGAAAAAGATTTCTATAGTACTAATATTCAAAGATAAACTACATTTTCTACTTATAATTAAAAGATGACAACATTTACTTGGAGGACGGGGTAAAGCTCTGCTCTTGAGGCTTGTTGAGAGGGGGATCAGTTTTCACTCCTCTCTCTTACACACTGTCCTTTCATAAGTATTATGTCATGGCTTTTCCCCCTTTTTAAAATAGAGTGTCATGTAGCCCAGGCTAGCCTCCAGTTCCCTCTGAAGCTGGAAATCCCCTTGAATTCCTAACGCTTCTGCTTCAGCTCCGAGTGCTGGGGTTGCAGACGCATTCCAGCCCATCCTTGAAAGTCCACGTCCCTTCCCTCTCCAGAACACCCTTGAAA